TGTTTCCAAATCATAAGCACATTTGCCACTTCAAGGTTTTGTTTTAGGCTTTTTTTTCTATTTGTAATTTTGTCTTGAAGCCTTTGGATTGACAGGTGTTGTCTTGATACACAATGTGAATAATTGAAAATATCCGTGCCTACCGGTACTGTTCTGTTTCAGAGATAATAATATAAGAGCACATGTTTCTGTCTTGCCCTTTGCTTAAAAACACAATACAATTTTCTAAAGCTAAATTTTCTCCAAAAGTTTGGATGTTGGCTTGTGTATTTCATTTTGAATCAGACTGAAATGTCACTGACAGCTAATTGTATTAAACCTACAAATAAAAAAATGTATTGGGAAGAATATTTCACTTTTAAAGATAATGTATGATTAAGATCATTTGCATTTTTCTTATCTGTTTCCTTTTAAAAAATAAAGTATATTTGATTTTTTTCTACCCTGTGTTTCTTTTAATTTGTGTCTATGAATATTTAAGTAAAACTTACCTACTAAAATGTTCTTGTTGATACCTCTAGATGACATATTTTCAAATTTGTTTATTGTCCTTTAATGCTAATTCAGAGGCAGTTTAATGGAATTTACTCCTAATTAAGTATGCATAGAATACAAAATTGATAATTAAATAGTTCTCTTTGGGTTCATATACATACAGACAAATACAAACAACAACATGGAAAGTGAATAGGGAGGGACTCATGCAATTGCTGTTGTGCTAATAGACTAGATTAGAAACTCCTGCCAGATTTCTAGTTATATCACCTTTTAGCTCATTTTCTCAAAGGCTACCAAAAAATATGCCTTGATTTCCTCCATCATGTGGAGCATCAACTTGTAAAAGATCATTTGGCAGGTTGACTTATCAACACAATGCCTACTTTCAGTTGGATATCAGACCAAGGCAATATTTTAAGAGAGTCTTAGATATTAACGCCCAAACTGACTTTGAGTCATTTGCAGATATCAGGTCTTTGAAACTGGTTGGCCAAGAATAAAATGCCCTTCCAAACAGAAAAATATCTGACTCAATACCATAGGAGCTGGAACAAGCTTCTGGATTCTGATAAAATACGGATAATTCCACCATGTGCTGTTACTTTGAATGTATGTATATATGTTGAGTATCAGATGTAGAAGATATTGCATTTGTCTTAAAGAACTGTCAACCATACAGCCTAGCAACATTTTATTTCCTACAGGGCACAAACATATATTGGACTGCTCTAGATCATAATTTGCATCCCTTGAACTAAATTCTAGTAAATTTAGATAAAGATTCTAGTAAATTAAATTGTTCTAAAAATAAATTCTAGTAAAGTATATCATCTTAATAGTAATGTTAGAAACTCTGGATTACAAGAAAAAGTCTTGGCTCATGAGTTTCCCATATTCATTGCTCATGAAAGCATTTGTAAGGATTGCAGATCTAGTACCTATACTCATTGATTTTAACAGGAAAGGCAACTTTTAAAATCAGTGTAACATTTTATTGAAAAGATTCCTAGCATTTTACATTAGATAAGGATTAAGGAAGGGTATGGTTATAGTGAGGTTCCTTTTAACTGGGAGAGCTGAGAAATGCTACTGAAAGAAGAGGGAATGCCTGCATTGGAAGATCTATTTATGTTTTAGGATGCTTAATTGAAGTAAAATGCAGATATTGCAACTAAGAATATGTGAAACAGTTCAAATGTTACCCTCCTTCCCAGCAGCTTTTCTAACCTTCATCTTTCCATCATATCCTCACTATTTTGTAGTTTGGAGTGTATAGGGGAACGAATGAGGAACCAGAGAGCATGACCTCCAACATCTCTTCAACTTAGGTGGGTCCAACAGATACAGTAAGAACTATTGCACTTAACCAAGTTGGGACAGAAGAAAAAAGGCTGAGATGTGTTGGTGGACTGTTGGCCAAGTGTACCATTGCCAACTTTCTTTTTTAAGGATTTAGCATGTAGATCCCTGCCAGGCTACTATAACCAGTTTATATGACACTTCACCAATAATATTCAAATCCATTAGAGTCTTTGACACTATAAGGGCAGGGTTTGATGTGATGAGTGGTGAAATACTAGACATTATATTTGAGACTTTTTTTAGCCTGTGAAGTAAAAAAGGATGTTTTGAAGTATGATCTCTGCTAACTATGGACTTGCTTCCTGTCCCTCTTGACTCATATGCAATCTGGAAAAAGCATCTCTATCTAGATCTGGAGGATAGTCAATATCTGTGAAATGGGTTATTACATCCACTTTTCTATTTCCGCCAGTTGCCAGTTTTCTGTTTTGCTGGAAGAGTAATAACAGGATGCTGGAAAATGAGATTCAAAGCATTGTGGAAGAAACAGATTATCTGGCCCATTTTCAATTTGGACTCAAGCATGGTATGTGACTGAAACAGCATTGGCTCTCCTGGTTGATGATCTTTGTTGGAACTTGGATGTTGTCAGTATCTTTCTGGACCATCTGTGAGAAGTGTGGATCAGAGCACTCTTCTGCAATGATTCTACCTAGCATGCTAATAAATGAGGTCTGAATGTTCTGTTGGTGTTTCCAAGATCCTGTACTTTATATAGTACTTACATTAATTATTGTATAATTCTTGCTTCCTTGATTATGCCTTGTGATGGTCTCAACACCCACCTAGAGTGGGAGGATCTCAAAACAATGACCTATACTATCATTGCTACTCATCTAAGTTACCACAATGTGTTTTCTGTGAGTCTCCATTTGAAAACAGCTGTGGCTGGCATGGCAGAAGCCCCGATGGACTGGGTGCACAGGTGGAGCAAGCTTACCCAGCAACATGTAACCTTTCCTGTCGGTTTCGCAATTAAGTTTGTGGGGAAGCTGGAAGGAAAGTGACAAAAGGCACTCGTGATTATGGGTCATAAGTGCAAACCAATTGTCAAGTTCCCAGATCATAATCATGTGACCCCCACAGATACTGGGACAGCTGGAACGCCAAGAACTAGTTGTAACCACCATTTGTTCAGCACTGTTATTACTTTGAATTCCTGCTGAACGAACAGTCATAGGTTGAGGACTACCTGTATTTGAAAGATGTTCACAAATCTATATTTTTCATGAACTCTTTACTTCAAAAGTGAACCAAAGAAATACATATAGGCCCATATTCTAGCTTTATTCCTGCTTCCATTTTAACTTCTCTCCATCCATTGCTTTGTACTAAACAGAATTCCTAAAAACGAAAGCCTCTTTTTACTGTTAGTTTTTTTTTATCATATTGCACTAAAAGTAGACAATATGAATTTCAGATTACACTGGCTATTAGACCATTATGTTTTCCATATTCCTTGTCATTTCAGAATGCCTGCTGTTTAATATTACCCTTACTAAATTGTGAAAAAGCCAGTGCTGACTGTACAACTTCAATTTATTTTGTGTGCTTTTAAAGGATATAAATAATGACCAAAATTACAAAATTTATAACTGGAAGCCCAAGCATATTTACAGAGAAGAATTTGTTGCAGTGAGGCTACTATTTGCTTGTTCCTATACAATGTTCCTTTGGGTACTATTTTCAATGTTTAATATCAGCCTACTACATACATATCAACAATGATAGGCAAAATATATACAAGGAACTAATTGGTTCAAGTATATTGTATTAAAAGGTTCTTTTGTCATCCAGTGCTATGATTAGGATCAACTAAACCATATACAATTTTCAGTTTTAAATCGAGTTTCATTATCAATTTTGCTAAAAATTCCATTGAGTGTAACTGAATTTTCAGTTAGATATGAAAGAATAATAAAAAACATTGAAGTCAACCACACTATTCATAAATATCTCTATAATGATGTCCAAAATGACTCACAATTTGACTGGATAGAATATACATTTAAAATGCTGTTTTTCGCCTATGATCAATATTTTTACTGTAATTTATTCAGTTCCACTGAAATATACATAAATGTTATTGTACAAATACTCCACGAAGACATTAAAAAATTAAAATACTTGAAACAAACTGTAAGCAAATTTCATTAAATTCCATGTTAAGCCAGTGCTCAACAGGTTATTTTGTGGAAACAATGTATTACTTTGGATTTTTTTAAAACTTTATTTAGGAAACAAAATCTTTTAAATTGAACTTTTTCATTAAAATCAGCTGCGACAGAAAATTTAATAAAAATTGCAGTTGGATTAAAAGCATCTTTGAAACATTGATAAGCTTAAATGGCTATAATGACTTGAAAAACTGTGTACAGTTGCATGTACCTTAGTGCAATTGCTGGGCAGCTTTTATTTTACTCTTCCAAAGTACAAAGCATCCAATTTATAGATGACACCACTGTTACCACTGTTGCAAACAGTACAGCAGCAGTTTAACTTCAAATTAAGTCCTAATTCTCTTCATAGTTAATGATTTTCTTTATCATAAATATTCACACTTTTTCATATAATTTTTCCTCTGTCACACAAAAATATTTAATACAAGGTGCATTTTCATGCATTATTATTAATTCCTCTTCTTAAAACCATTAATCAATCTTATCACACTGCTATATAGAACCTCTTTTTTTCCAGATGATTAAATGGCATGTAGTTTACAAAAACAGCAACTAACAAATGAAGGAAATTAATAACTTGCTATTATTTTTTTAAACATATTAAACAAAAATTATATAGGATTTTCATAATTTCTCAAATATTGTATTAAATAATCTGGGTCTATTTCAATGTTCAATTTGCCAAATAAGAAACCCAACTATAACTGAACATTGTATTACCAAGCAGCATTAATGTTAGAGACCTTTGTAAAAGTAGAACATTAAAATATGAAATCAAAGAAAGCACTGTGGCAAAGTCCTAAGAAAATTGCGTGCACGAAAACTATCTCCCACTCCTCTTGTGGGCTCTATGAAAAGTCTTCATCCCATGTCATTCTTCTGTCAACGCTGCAGGAAGAACAATCACCAGAAATGACCAGCAGCCTTTATATTTATATATATATTTATTTATATATATTTATGTTTTTGCTAGTTTCAAGGCCACTCAGTGCAGTCTTCCTCTCTGTTAGATTGAAGAGTTGCTTATCATGGAAAGGCTGTGCTGTGACTGCTTTGAGTGCAAGGCACAACAAGAAATGATGAACAGTTCATTATCAGAAAATCGTGGTTTCATACTTGGTATTAATTCCTCTTTTAGCTTCTTGTCCTGGTTCTACAATCCATGGTAGATTGGTAAGAGTCTTTTGTTCAGTAGGATCTATCTGCTTTGAAACAAATAAACACAGGAATGCTTTATCTATTTAAATTACAAAAATTTTAAAACTATGTTTAAAGTTTCTCAATAGGACACATTACATGGTTGTACCATATATTGTTTTTTACCTACTGATGATCCAGTTTTTTGCCTACTGTTTGTTAATTTTCACTCTCCTCACAAAATTGTGTTGCTGGAATGAAACACATTACACTAAATCTGAAATTGTAGTATAACCTTACACCACGATATAGCATGTGAAGCTTACAGATTTAAAAAGATCAGACTTCAAGATTCACATTCTTTTTTGCCTTTGAAATTACTCTAAGTACATATAATCAAAGTACATCTATTAGTCAATATCACAAAAAGCTGCAGACAATCAGGAGGGCCAAGCATATACATCTCCAGCAATTTGAAAGAGGTGCATATGCAACGTGAATAGTGTTCCTCCTCTGGCTTGTAAATGCACGCATAGGAGTGTAACATTTCATATGTTCAAAACATAAAATAAACTCTAACAACCATAAAACTACAAAAACATAAACGTTTTCATGAAAACTCACAAATACTTAAAATTCAATGTTGGCAAATTTTTCTGTGGCTGAAAGCAGCACAAATATTTGTTGGAGTGCCCACATAATAAACTTAATATCACATTTTTTGGTCTTCCTGGATTTTGAGATGAAAAGAGGGATACCTAGCCTGCTAAAAGGAGACAGGGTTTTCCCATGCCTCCTATAAATTTATGATGGAGATAGAATTTGAATTCTTGTTTCCAATCATATGGAGTGTTTAATACATTGAATCAAACATTTATATAGCTGTCCTCCTGCTGCCTTTTCGCCAAGTAAAGATTTCCAGGTTTACTAGGAATCATCCTTCATGTTATTCCCACAACATAGGCCTGTAGATTTGGAGAGTAAGGCTTGAAAAACCACTCTACTCATATGAACAGTTTTAACCTTCACATGTGGAGATACCAACCTGATCAGAGTACTGCCAACTATATCATCTCCTGCTACTCCAGATTTTATTTGTAGTTACTCTGATTTTCATTTTGTTTGATTTTTATCTTTTTATAACGATGTAACATGTATTATTGTATATCACTCACAATAAATATGTTACAAAATGTGTATAAGTGATACTAATATCTAGTAAATACTAGGCAGTAATTTCTGGACAATTTGATCTTTATAATAACCATTTAAGAAGTTAACTTTTTGTCAGTTCTTTTGTATTTCTCCCCAATCCACAGGATGATGATAGATACTTCTTGTTTTGTTACAAATCATCTATGAGCTTGTTCATGTCTCTCCCATTTTACCCCTTCAGTCATAATAACCCTGAAAAACATGGCTATGGGGATAGAATTCAATAATATCTGGAAGTGCCTTTCTTTTACTTTACTTACTGAATTTTGAACCAGGCAATAGCAGATATATTGAGGCATAATCTTATATTGGATATAATTATTGATTATTAAAGACTTTACAGTAGTATGGTTAGAATTATCTTCAAGAATATCTTTCATATCAAACTTCTGAAATTGTAAAATTAACTTTTAGCTAGTTGCAATAAATATACATATATCTCTCAGCATATTTGGAGTAAAATTTACAATTTGTAATTTACAAGCACAGTTCAGGCCAACAGCATTTATCACAGGTTGATATTAAGTTCCTTCTATATGGATTATGCTTCTTACTCACCATAGATTTTCGAATGCTGACACGTGGTTTTGGGATTGGCTTGGTAGGTTTATTATCAAAGCTTTCGGGGAGTGTTGAAGAATGGCCTCCTTTTCGAGCTTGAAGTGCCAGTTGATAAGCTACTTCAAATGCCTGTCCCAATGTGAGAATTATTTCATAGGCTAAATTCTGGAATAGCAACAAACAGCAGGATTAAGCTGATTAATATGAATATAACTTTAAAAGAATATCCTAAATGTAGGGTAGTTTTGACTAATTGTGAAAAGGCTATATTAATTGCTTTTTGCACATCAGTGTTGTCTTATCATTTTCTGCTACTGACACAGAAAATTGTAGAGACAACGTAAGTTCTTCCCTCACCTACAGTAAGTTGAACATTCAAATGTAAATATTCATTCAATCATACATGCATATCTGCTATCTGTAGGAAGATAACGGGTGTAGGACATACTGAATACACAGAATTCTGCAAATAATACTGTATTTACCTGGAAGGAAGAGGAGCCTGAATTCAAAATGCACCCTTCCTCATGAAGCGTACATGGGAAAAAATTAGAAACGTAACAATTCTGTGCAATGTCCAGCTCCCCCATCTTTTCAAGATAGGATTGCCAATTCCACCTGAACGCAATCCTGGAGAACACTCTTGCCATCAATATGAATGTGTCTGTCTATGTGTCATGCTTATATGCATATACAGGTATGAGTATACCAAATCTGCCAGAAGCTACACTGTAAAAGTAGGTAACCAACAAATTTATTTTCTTTAAAATGAACTATCCCATTTATAAAATTAATACTGTCATAATCAGAAACTCACGAGTATACACCACATATTCCCCTTCTTTCTTCCAGCAGAAACTGTAAAGACAAAGGGATAAGGACACAATGGAGGGGGAAGGGAAAATTGCATTGGGAAGGGAAGGGAAAGGAAGGGAAGGGAAGGAAAAAGGAAACAGAACAAAACTAGATGGAGAGAAAGTGAGGGGAAGAGCTGAAGTGTAAACACGGTTTCTCTCATTTCTTCCCAGTTTAATTATTTTTCCCCGGTTACCTCTTTAATTTCAATAGCATTCTCTATTACCAGTTAATGACAGATAATTGCCTAATTTTTTGTAAGTAAAAAGGGAAGAGAAACTCATCTTTCTATTTATTTATACTTAGTATCATTTTAAGAACAGTACTGTGAGCTTACACAATCTATTTTACTTTGTCATGTCAACTGAAATCACCATGTGTACATTTTTATAGGTCACTGCTTAACACAAAACATCAGAATCCACACTGAAATCCAGACAATAACAGAATGATAAAAGATTTGATGTTTTGCAAACTTGCAATCCTTTACACAGATAGCAACTGCACATTGGCCTATTTCAGCACAGTCTTAAAATTAATACTCATAAACACATTCATAAATGCTGATCTCACACTGGCCATGAAATGGGAGATCTTCTTTCTTGAACCTTCCATTATTTATTTGTAAGCCAGTAATAGTTCCAAATGAAACTTTTAAAGATATTAAAGATATTTTTGTAAACTGAATTAATCTTGCAATAGGATTCAGCAACTGATTTTACAATTTATCATTTATCACTATCCGATCATTAACATCAAGGAATGAAACAAGCAGACTCCATAGATTAGCTACTAAAACTATACATTAAAATTTAGGTTTGCTTATTTATCTGCTAAATCAATAACTTTCCTCTTGTCTTTGTGAGGTAAACCAGATAGGAATCACAACCAGGCGAGCAAATTCTACTTTATTGTAAAGTACATTGTAAGAATCTTGCAAGTCTGAAAATACCATTCTTCCTCCCTCCCTCCCCTGGTCTCTTACAACACAAGAAACTAGAGAGGGTCTATTCTGAGCTTCTTGTCCCATCCATTCTCCAGCTGCGGGCTGTGCTCTCTTATCTGGTTGTTCCTTTGGCAGCATCTCTTTGCCCAGTCTCCCAAGTCTTTCCCACACATTGTTACACGTCTTAATGCAAAAAGGCTCCTATGTAGCATCCTTGTCTCTACTTGTTCCCCACAATAAGAAGACAGATTGGGCTGAATAAGTGACTAATCAAAGTCATTCACTAAATTTCCAAAGCTGAAGGATTCTTGAACCTTAATCATCCAGACTGCTTATTTTGGTATATTTAACATAGATTTTTAAGAAGAAACTATGCAACAGCAAACTTGTCTACTAGTTTTGTAATATTTATTTTGCTAGTGATTATAAAATTGTACATTGTTTAAATGGAATTCTCAGTCAGTTGTGATAGATAAGGTTTACAAATATTGGTGTAGTTGTTATATATTTGTATATATTTTGTTGGCATTTTTATTCAGCTGTTGGATTACACATGGTTTGTTGGAATGTGCTGATCCGTTTTGGCAACATACTACTTAAAATATTCTTTGACATATTTATATTTATGTACTGATTACTGGGTTAGAATGTTCTACAGCAGCCTCTGAGTGAAGAGTAAACTAAAATTCAGTGGGGAAGCCAGACTACAGTATAATGTTGGTGGAACCATAACAGAAATCATTCTACAATATATGTTTCAAGGTGACATTCTATAAGCTTCTAAAGCTCATATTTTTCAGAACACATTCCACAACACCAGCTGTTATTTTAATTAAATTAAGCATCTAAAATTGTAAACTCCAAAGTTTCTATTTATATTTGTGATAAAAAGATATATATTATTTTAAGATCTGTCTATAGCCTAGCAGTCAATGGTTCATTTTGCTGTTGGAATTTAATTCCAAATAAATGTCTACTTTATAAGGCTTGAATTTTTATAGCAGAAATACATCTGAAGCGATAGCTTATATGCTTTGAATCAGATTGGTAAGTGCAGTATTAAGAAAACTATTTTTCAAGTTGAAAATTTGCTCACAGAATACAGGAATACTAATAGAAAGCCAGCAATTTAACTCACAAATTATTTGACAGCCAGTGATAAACAGTACTATTGCCAAGATTAAAATTCACATTTTATCAGCATTTCAGGAACAATTGTTATGGTAAATTTCACTGGATTTAAATTGAGATACAAGTCTTAAAGGCTTATAATACTTATCTCACAGAAAATGTTGCTTTATCCTTTTTTGTCAAAAGAAAATTACCCTAACATTTTGAACCAATCATTATTTGTCCCAGAGTTCAGTACTATATGCTTGGATATATTGAACTTATGGGGCTTTGTGAACTATGTGCAGAATTGGTGGTTACTAGTTGCTTACTGCAATGTGAAAATAACTCTTTAACTCCCAGTTATTTTGTCATGAAGCAGCAGCAAATTCATTTCTAGTCTCCTCCACTTAGTTACAGGCAAAGGGGTCTAAACGGTTGCAGGCCCCTCTCCCACTATAGAGACCAACTTAACCATAACCCAACCAGAGTAGTAGCAGCTACAAACAGCTTCTGCCCTATCCTGTGCCCAAAAAATATCGTGGTTTAAAATGTCAGTGAGCCTAATCAAATCCAGCCCTATCTTTATATGTGTTACATTATTTTTTCTTGTAAGTTTTCCTATTTCTTTAAAATATAATTGGATAATCAGGCAATTACAAACAGGAAAACCTTATTCAAGATATTCTGCCTATGCATAAAAATCCTCAGTTGGATTATTTGTCTTATTTCACTATTTACATATGGAATCATATGTAAATAGTTAGTAGTCAGAAAAATTTGTTCAACATATGTCCATAAATATCTATTTCTAATCACAGTAACTTTAAAAGGATGACTTGTTGCATAGAACAGCATTCCCCAACCTTTGTGTCTTGGTGGACTGGTGGCAGTGGCGGCAAGGTGGGAGGAGAGAGGAGATGGTTTTGTGCACTTGTGCACTGCTTGCACGCTTGCCCACCACTTGCACTGCCGGGTTTTGAATGGGCTGCAGCCCGACACTAGGCCACGGACCGGGGGTTGGGGACCCATGGCATAGAAATACATAAGAAAAAGAGTTTGTATCATGACTGCAAGGCAGGCCCAGTAACCTGTTCAGTTGTATTGATCTAGGTAATGAGTTCTGAGAGTTTCAGATAAAGCCTGATTACTTTTAAATTTTCAGTTAATGACTAAAGCATAGAGGAAAGAGAGGGGAGCTATCTGAATATTAAGCTGGTAAAAATTAACATAAAATGTTATTTGTAAAACTGGAGCTTTAAAATTATTCCTCTATGCTCAGATTTTGTTCTAGGTGATTCACAGCTAAGACAGACAGGCAGATATTCCTACCCTCCTTTATTACAGAAAGCAGTAACTCATAATAAAAAGGTGTGCAAATAGTCACTGTCTGTCTAATTTTTAAATATTTATTGGAAAAACATATTTTGAGGAACCTGAAGTCCATGGTACACTTGTCCTGCAAATATTCTGCCTATATTTAAATTTGTCCAACATATCCAGGAAGACTTTAATGCAATATTTTATAATGCCCTCATCTTTTCTCATTATTGACATTGGGTATGCCTGATAGAAAATAGATTTATAAAACATTAAGATATAAATTTGAATTCTCAAGATGTGTATGCTGATAAATTCAACCTACTCCTAATATATGGGAAAAACGAATGACCACATGTTGTCTTAACCCATTTGCTAGGCAAAAAACCCTTTGTATGAGAACTATTTTATGGGGGTATCAATTTTCTTTAACAAGACTGTCTCATGTTCAAAACATCACATTAGTACATATTTCTAAGTATACAGAAGACTCAAATATGCATTACTTAATAAATCCAGCAATCCTTTCCTAATCCAATAAAACAAGACCAACATAGGGATTGACAGCACACCCACAGAACAGATGTGACTGACATTCTTGGCTTACTTTTGTTACTGGGATGGCAGTATGCCTGGGAATAGGAATAGTTCACTTTTTGGAGTCCTTAAACTCCATATACACATGCATGCATGCACACACAGAGACACTCACAAAAGCAAAACAAAACCACAAAGCTTAATTTTATTCGTTTTGCCATGATTCTGGTTCATTTTCAGGATATATGAGGAAGGATAAACAGAGATGTGCATTTTCCAAAGAAATAGAACTCATTTTTTTCTATGCACATTTGTCTCAATTTCCCTAATATGCATTAGCATTTGCAGTATGCTACTTGGTCTGAAATATATTGTATTTAGTCTATTTTATGAACTTTCAACCTTTACATAGAAATAAACTAAAAGCTTCAATATGTAGAGAAAAATTTTATTGGAATGTTAGAAACAAACATTGAACAGTAAGTAATAGAACAATAGAGATGGTACTTCATATGATGGGCAAATTAAGTCATAATGTTCCTTCGAGAAATGGTTTCCAGTCACAACAGGAGGCACACTATATGATTCTAGCCATTGTCTCATCTATTTTTCCTTGATTTTCTTTTAACATTTTTTTAAGGAAGGTCAATTAACCAACTTGATGATGAACTTAAAATGGATAGTACATCCTTGGATAGTACATCTGGTCTTTGAAGTTCAAGATTTCTCAAATTATTACTTGTGTTACCAAGTTCCTGCAATAAAGCAAAGGGATTGATATTTTTATCTGTTTCTTCCCTCTATTAGAAAGACAATTTTTTTTATAAAAAAAAGCTGCAGTAAACAAGCTTTGTTTTTGCATTTTGCATCAATAAAACACTGTACATCACAGTTCTATACCAGGGAACTCATCTAGGGTACAGTATTAGGCTTTTATATAACATCTTTGCTCATGTCTAAGGTAAAATGTGGCAAAGAAATCCATGCTATTGGCAGCCAGAAGAAAACTTTGGATTAAGACTTAACTTTATATAATCTAATTAATTTCTCATTTGCTTTTTAAAATCATTTTTGTAAGTCATGATTAATGCTGTGACCACTGCTTAGTCAAATCAAATATTAATTAAAATAACCTAACAAACATCAGTTAATGTACTTACATAGGATTCTTTTTGTAGGCTTCTTTCAGATCATTGTGCTTTATCCCATTATTTTATTAGCTTTTCAGAATGAAAATGATCTGTGTTCTTTTAGAAACGTTTCTGCATTATCTTAAATCCTTCTTCCTCCTTGTAGTATTATTGGAATAGTCTTCCTGGCAGTCTTCTTCTTACCTGAAATGGTTTCTTCATAACAATGCCATACATTTATTGTTGTTTGAAATTCAGGCCTGAGGTGGGGATTACCAGCCCATCTCTCTTTCAAGAATACCCATTACCCAGAGTAATTACTGAGATGCCAGGATCAAGAGAGTGCACACGTGAAGCGGTCTTTGGCCTGCAGGAAGTTCATAGTTTGTCCATATGAGTGCTACAGGAGAACAAGAGATACTTGTCTCTGATTTTTCTGCAGCTTCTCTAGCTGATTACTTCTGGCCATTCCAATCATTGTAACCAGAAATCCCTGCTGCTGTTGTTTTTTAATTTTTTTTAGAATGAATATCTATGAAGCAAGTCTTGTACAATTATGAAACTGCCAAATTTACCCGAAAAACTTTGATCCTGGAAAACCTACTTCTCTGATTAAGAATGAGATTGTTTGCCTTGAAAAAGCCTCCTGCTCCCATCCCTACAATTACAATTTAAAGGGAGGGAAAATCTAAAATTTGTCCATTTCATGATTAGCAAACATCATCTGTGTGAAATGTTGAGGTGCCAGAAGATTATATGCAGGGATTTCTACCATCCCTATAATACAACACAAATGGTTCCCCTGATCATGTTATAATGTCAAGTTTTATATATTCAATTTTCTTTGAGAGGATGGAGGGTCTGTACACAGACTAGTGCTATGCACTTCATTTGGAGGAGCACTTTTTGGACCCATTAGTCAAAGCACTGAAGTGTTGTGGTGGTATGTGGAAATGACCTTGGGAGACAGGAGGAAAAACCATAGCCTAGGCAACAGTCTGATTAGAGACAGCTCAGTCTGCAGCTAGAGGAAAATCAGGAAACATTTTTTAAGGGGTCCTCCCTAGTTTTCCAGCAATTAAAAAGAGAGGAAGGGAGAAATACTTTCAGACTTGCAAGTTTTTGTTTGATACAACCTTATAATAAAGATAATGCTAATACTCCTGGTAGTGCTTCCTTTTTGGACTACCTCAAAGGACTAACAAGTGCCATATACTATCAGGGACTCAATGCAATTGTTTTAAGGCCTTCTCTCTGTTATCTGACCCTCTAGGTGCACATACAGGGCTGTAATTGCAGATGTGCTTACATTTGCTGCAAGATTCAGGACAAAATATCTCACGCTGCTATGGAATCTGCTGTCCCAATATACAGCAATATCTGCACTTGCTTCAAGGGAGATTAATGGAGCATAGGGCTCACTAGATGTTGGTTGAATGTTATTTGTAATATCAGAAGCAGTATACTTTATATAACACTAGTTATTAGCAAAATATTAGGCCAAAATGTAGGTGTTTAAACTGATCCTCCCTAATTTTTCATTATCCTCTTGCTTACATGGCATAGTTGCAATATATTACTTTTCAAAAAGGAACTTAGTTATAACATCATAATGATATGAAACATTTATATTAAATTTTAAATAGTAGTTATTATGCAATTTACTCATCAGTACCAGAACTGCTCTACAACAACTTTCTTCTTAACTGAAATTATGCAGGAAATTATACAGGTTTGTTAGCTACCACATAGAAAAAAAATTATACACCAACCACATCAAAGGCTGTGAACACATGACAATAATGGTGATTTGTCTTCAAGTCTTTTGTAATATAAGCAAATGTTGAGAGGTCTTCGGGGTCTTGTGCGGCACAGGAAATGTTACGAATCTCATGTTCAGCAATAATATTCTAAATGTAAAGAAAAGAAATATTTATATATATTTAATGATCCAATCTAGTACCAATATTTTATAATACTTAGGTTTTACATTGTTGCTAATATAAATAAAATAATAAGCAAGCTGTAGCTGTATTTAAATTCAGCAATAAGCAAAATGTGTTATCTCCTGTCCTGTTCTGTGTTTCTAAACTTTTCATTGTATGGCTGAATTCATTAATCATTATTCCCCTCTCAACTGATATTGAAAGTTAAAATACCTTAAAAAATAGGAAGATACTGTAGAAATATCTACAAAACTTCAAGGTTTTCTTTGCATGTTAGTTATTGAACATGAAGTTTTCGAATCTGTTCTAATGATACTGAGAACAGAAAGGATGTGGTAGATAATTTTGATTACTGACGGTAAAAAAAATAACAGCATTATATTACAGATTTGTTACTGGTTGTTAATATGCAAATGGAATTCATGTACCAGTTTAGTGATTAATATTTAATTTGTCTATTAGATAAAAAGACAAAATTTATTAGTACATAAATATATTCTGTTATCAGAGTAAATGATACAAACTCTTAGACTTTCTTTTTTAAATTTAGGAATCAGTAAATGAATATATAAAATGCTATAGAAGTTAATTTATGGTGCCATACTTACATATTTAACATGAGTGTGAAGACAATTTACTGAACCATATAAACTGAGTGATACTATCCAGATTATTATAACATAAACATTTATTTATTTTATTACTTTACTTTATTGATGAAATTTATATACCACCTCAATCCAATAGGACTCTAGATGGTTTGCAACATGCATTAGAAAATATAAATCAATATGAATAAAATTAAATCTGGCATCAAAGGTCTGCATAACCACTCCAGTTTTTAATATTACAAAAAGATATATACCTTTATTACATCCATTTTATGAGTATTTTTTCATAAAAATATGTATTTATTTCATTAAAGTTAAGCAACTATTATTCTACATATAATTTGCCTATAAAAAATAACAATCATACTAGTAAGCTTTACTTTTTAAAGTTCTTTAAACTAATGTTTTGATTAAAACTAGTTATTCTATTGGTAAAACAGTTTTTCAGGGTTTTTTATTCCTTCTATTGCTAATTTCAAAACTGTTGGATTAAAACACTTTGGATTGCAAATGAAACCATAAATGTTGCCTTAGGATATTAATCCATTAGCAATGCTGTTAAGAAAAAGTCTTCAATATTCTCAGAAAGGAATTAGAATTAGAAGAAGTATTTGTGCCAAAACCAGAAACTGGAATAGCTTAATAAGCTTTGTCATTTTTAATGTACATTTCCAACTTAGTTCTATTTCACTGAAAGGTCTGTTAAAATTTGAATCCGCTAGTTCAAATCCCCCCTCTCTTTCCCCTAAAATTATGGGACTCATAAAGCTAGTTTTGATTCAATATAAGTAAAAATAACTAATCTATGATTTAGAACTGTAAATTTAGTCTTTTTTCCCTTTTGTTTTTGCTGTTGTATGCTACTTAGCATTCTTTAGGACCAAAGCAAGTTAGGAGGCAATTTCCCAATTTGCTTTGATTTTCAAGAACTTTGGGAAATTGCTTCTGGCTTTCATGTTCAAAATGGGAAAAAATTAAACTTGAAAATTGAATAATTGTATAATATAGAAATGGCTTGTAATAACTAAATACAATGCAAAACGTTGAGGTGTAAATATAGTAAGCATTTTACTGTACTGGGAAGAGTCAGAAGTCACTTTTTCCCCTTTTTTTATCCTGCCCCTCCCTTTTCTCCTGTTGTTTAATCTTTATTTTCATTGTACTTTATATTATAAGAAACCTCAATAAAATCCTCAAAACAGAGAACCAAAGCAAATAAATGAATACATTTATTTTAGCTACTTTTACTAAAAATCAGACAAAATCATTGTCCCTTTCACTAACTCCAGTATTGCAATAGAGCAATGCACATGCTTATTCTCAAATGTAATTTAAAGTGCTGATCTATACCTATAAAGCAATACGAGTTCTTAGAGACTGCCATTCCCCAATAGTTTCTGCTATTCTGGGGGGCCTTTGGGGTACAATGGGCTAGTTTTTAATGCCAGTTTGATCATAAAAGAAAGTGGAAAATGCAATCAAAGCCATATTAAAAAATATATATATACACCAGTCTGCAAAGAACTGTGGACCAAGGCATGCACCTAACTATTTATCCTCCCTTCTGTATATCTATTGGATTACTGCTATAATCATGCAACTCTTCCCTGTTTCTCAGGTGATTCCTAGAGGTATCATAAATTTTTAAAGAATAGATGATTTCCCTCATTTGAAATTACAATGAAGACTCCTAAAAAAAACTTGTTTTCCTCAAGGTAATATATGATATTCAATTATCAAAGGAAAGGAACAATTAAAGAGCCCCAATAAGCTCAGTTTGTACTTAAGTTGGAAATGTATGTAAAAATTGTGATTATTTCAAGGAAACAGACATAGACACAAGCAGGTTCATGAAATTTCAATACCTTATGCATCTTATTTTGAAGCTGGCCCGGACAGTATGTATTAAAAAAGAAATAGTATTGGACAGTAAAATTATCACTTGGATGAAACAATATTCACTGATCAAATATACATAAAATGGACAAAGCCAGATGTTTATCTTAAGCCAAACTGCTGCAACATTAGTCAACTTGTGAATAGATCACTATTATTTTAGGTTAAAACTTCATCAATATAGTTTGTTAACTAAATATGAATATCTTTGCTTATGTCTGATAAGCTTCGATATTCTTATAACAATGAGAAATTTAAGCTGTGATCTTAATTAGACAGCTACATCACAAAGGGGAATATAAACAAAACAAAAATAAAACAAATGAAAATGGCATGGACACTGTTATTGGTATTGACCATGTATAAATGAAAAGCAAAGTGTTTGGACTATGAAATAAAGCATGGCTGATGCCATTTACTATGTCCATTTCAATTTATTTCATGGCTAATTGGGGTTCTTTGTGAAAGTGGAGGAGTATCTGTAGTTTTGGCTGCTTTGGTGTGTGTGTGTGTGTGTGTGTGTGTGTGTGTGTGTGTGTGTATAAAAATATAAATGTGTGATGTTCTGGTTTAAGTTGGACAGTTTCTCTAAAAAAAAGTCCTCTACTAAAGTCCTATGATAGAATGTACTGTCGTGCACAATGGTTGTAGACAGATTTGAAAAATATACTAGCAAGGAAATGTCAGTGACATCAAGTAGTTCTGGATTTGTCGTGACCATTTTTATTTTACATTGAATGACACAAATACTTAATTGTTCTACATTTAACACAAAATTCACGGCCTATGAGAGAACACATTCTCTCATAAGTATTGATATAACAGTATCTTTGTAACTCAGGCTATGATTTCATGCATCTGATGAAAGCATCATAGCTTATGAAAGTTTCAGCTAGAATAAACTTGATCATTTTAAAAATGTAATAAGAGTCATTTGCTACTGAAAGGAATGGAGAGCGTCTATTTGCAACTACTTAAAATGAAGTAAGAAATGACACCTACCTTATTTGTTGCATCAATAAATTTTACTCCTTTATAAGAGACAGATAGAACAATAGTAGGAACTTTCTTCATTTGTTCGGTAGACTTCTGAAATTAAAAACAAACATAAAAATTATGAATTGGGGAACTCTGTTATTTCCTTTCTTCTCATCGAGATAAATAATACTTTCCCTGCTATGGTTGTGCAGTGCTTCATTCAAAAGACAGAAGATGTTTCGGAGCAAATAGACAAGTATTGTGGTAGCTATCTGCAACAAACTAAACCAAATCTGCCTTTTGTTATGATTATGTGGCAGATGTGAAAGATAGCCATACAGTTCCCCCCAAACGGTGTGGCTGCTTTCAGGAACTGCATACAGACACTACTTTTGAGCTTTTGTTCATTTAAAGCACTTGCTTCCTTTGCATCTGAAGCACTGCACACTTTTTACCCATTGTAGCTGTAAGAAAATAGTTAAAGTATACCCACCAAATGCTAGAGGGAAAAAGGCTCTGTCTTAATTTATTTAAAAGTATGTGTGGAGGAGGTCTCCTTTCAGGCAAGAAGATAACAAAGAACAGAATGTATTTGCTCTGATCATGTAACAGTTAACAGCAGAAATATTTGAACCAGAAAATAACAATTATAACTGAATCAACATATTACTATTTTGGGGCTTACATTAAAATGTTTAATTTCTAGGTCTGCAAAGTTTATCATTTTGTAATTTATTTTTTTTAAGGCATCTGCAATTATTTGCCATTTAACAATTTATGATAAACTTATGATAAATAAAAACAAAACATTTAAGAAGAGATTCAGACACCCATTTGTCTGAAACGGTATAGGTTTCCTGCTTGAGCAGGGGGTTGGACTAGAAGACATCCAAGGTCCTTTCCAATTCTGTTATTCTGTTATTCATGTCTTTAAAATAGATTTATTTTAGCAGAATAAGCACCTGATAGTGAAATTTCTGAGAAAGAAGCCTTTTGATGTAAAGTCTGACAGGTGTTGGGAAGTTCTCCACTGTCATTTACATCAGTCTTTTCCTATTATTATAAAACCATGATATTCCTGAGGACAAGAGTGGCATTTCAGATTTATGCTTTGTGTCACTTTTACTGTTAAAAGACCATTTTCATGGCACCACCATTTGGGGATGATCTTCAAGGGCAGGCTTCACTTTCTCTGGGTGGACTTCAGCCAGGAAAGAAAATTAGTCTAAAACATTCCATGACTCCTAATCACCTTTCTAGGTTACATATTTAATGGAGTACAATGTACCCAAACTCTTTCTTTGCATTTTAAAAAAATACAAAACATTATTACTGATCATTTTATATAAAACAATGAAGAATTGCGGAAATCTGTAGGGAGGGATTTAGAGATAAGTTTTATATAGATATATTATATAAGAATTTCTATAGAAAAAAGTAGATTTTGTTTATTGTTTCAAGTATTTATAATTTACCTAATTATGGCAATGCAAAATAACTACCTGCAAAATGAGTAAACAATCATCAGATCAAGAAAATGATGTTAATATACAAGCACAACAACTTATCTCACCCCAGATACTTCTGAACCAGAACTCCAGCAACCTTAGCTAACATAGCCGAGCCTGACTTTATTCTGGAATCATTGGTTGAAACTCTTATGATGAGGATACAAGCATTCATGCTTACCAGCATGTGTGAGCAAAGGCTGAAGGAGAACATCATTAATAATTACAATTTCTCCAGATAGATAAACTCCTGGCTGTGGAAGTGAATCAGATGTTGGAAAAGTAAGTTTATCCAAGAGGAAAAGCTTAGATGTCCAGAAGCAAGTGCTATGGTTTGAGTACAGGTGGAGAAGTCTGCATGTCAGACATCTCTTGCAATAATATGTTTGATGCATTATTAAAGGGAAAAGAAGATCATGTCCATTGGCATGTTGAGTTACATAATAAAACATTCAATTCTGCACTGCTCAAGGAAGATGAGATAATGAAGCAGCCTACCAATCAGCATCCTCAGTGAGAGGATGTACTCTTGAACAGGTAACATGATGATATCCCATCTCTCAAGTTTGGGTTCAAGGTTGAGGGAACAGTATGACTTTCTTAAGGTAATTTCCTCTTGCTAAATTTTCCTCGCATATCTCATTCATGCTTAATATCATATCTCATTCATGCTTAATACCATTAGAAATTATCTTCCCACCATCCAATGGCCATACATGGATGATAATGACAGAAGAGTGTTATCTCTCAGGCAGCAGCTCATCTGGAGCAAACCTTCAGCAACTTATGCTGGGATGAGTCACCGGCTTATGTTATCTGAATGATCACAGACTAGATAGAGATCCATAGATCATTTAAATATTTCTGTTGTCACTTTAGAACCTGAACTAAAGTACCCATCGCCATCCACCTACAGCCCAACTACCCACCCTTATCTCCTATGCCAGTGTTGCTAACTTGGATGAGTAAGATGGACATGGTGGCTTTGATATCATATATAGCACATCTCGGAAAAATTAATTAAGTGAAGCCTAAGCATGAGAGAGCTACTGATGTAGTTGCTAAAGTACTGAGCTAGAAACTAGCAATAGTAAGTTCTAGTCTTCCCATAGGCATGAAAGCTACCAGGCTAACTTTGGGCCAGTAACTGTTTCTCAACCCAACTCATTGCACAGGATTATGATTATGGAGAAAATAGAGGGATATGGGGATCTTATTTCTAATTATCTCTAATGCCCTCCCCCAAAATTTCCACGATTCTTCATTGTTTTGTATAAAATAATAATCATTATTTACACCAATGTGAATTGTACAAACTAAAGGTGGGATATAGATCTGGTAATAATAATAATGTAACCTTTTTCAAATTATAGGTTTATCTCCTGTAATCATTTGGAAGAGTAATGGTTTACTCACCCTCATCTTTGCACAGGCATCTTGTGTAGATTCTGTACCTCTTAATTCTTTTACCAGCATAGAACCTAAATACTTAAAGGATACACAAATAATTTGTTTTCTTTAGTTAAGAACAGTGTAAATGACTTAAATTTTGAAGCAGAATTTGCTATTCCGTTTTTTGAACTGAATAATCATGATGTTCTCCAAATATTCTGAAGAACTGCCTAACTGATAAATGGATCTGAAATGGTAAAATTGCAACTTTTTTGTAATGTTTGAGCAAGGTGTCTTTCTCTCCCCTGGTCCTTTCCCTTGCCTCATCTTCAACCAGTTTTGTTCTCCACTTTTGTTCTCCTTCCTTGCTACCCCTTCACTCTGATTTGGCCAATTAATAAACCCCAAAATATCCTTTTCAGTCATGTCAGTGCATACAGTAACCCCCAGGTGAAGTTAGCCCCATCCCTACCAGCTTTCCAGAGCCATGTTTTTCCAGCAATCATGGGAGTAGGGAACTTGCAAAATAATTGAATTATGCTTAAAAGTGTTTATTCTCCCTCAATCTTGATTTTTTCATGTTTAATTTTTTATAGTTGTTTATATTTGTTTTTAACTGTTTTATTGTATATCACACACAGTCACTTTTGTGAGAAAAGCAGATAAGTAAATTTGCTAAATAAATAATACATCCCACCACCTTTCCCCCAAATATATACTTTAAAATTTTTATAATTCTAAAACTTTGGAAGAATGTTCATAATACTGGAAATTCTTATGGAATTTCTTTAGTCACACAAGGAATACAAGTAATCCTCGACTTACAACCACAATTGAGCCCAAATCTGTTATTGCTAAGCAAGACAATTGTTAAGTGAGTTTTTGCTCCTTTTATGACCTTTCTTGCCATAGCTGTTAAAGCGAATCATTGCAGTTGTTAAGTTAGTAACATGGTTGTTAAGTGAATCTGGCTTCCCCATTTCTTTGCTTGTCAGAAGGTTGCAGAAAGGGATCACATGACCCTGGGACACTGCAACGGTCATAAATACATGCCAGTTGCTATTTGTCCAAAATTCTGATCAAGTGACCACAGAGATGCTGCAATGGTTTTAACTGTGAAAAAAGGTCATGTCACTTTTTTCAGTGCCACTATAACTTCCAACAATCACTAAACAAATGGTTGTAAATCGAGGACAACCTGTACCTTGTCACTGCTGCTGTTTATATTAGGGAGAGAAAATAATTAGCCACCTTGTTAACAATCCAATTTCCTCCCCTAAGTTGAGCAATTTTCAGTTGTTTGCAGAGAAACATTCTGTTTGATTGACTTACAAATGCTTTGTAATCACATGATTGGAAAATGAGTTTCTCTGGATGATGCTGCCAGTATTGTACTGGTGTTGATCCTGTAGCTTCATTAGGAGGCCTCAATGTAATAGAGGGTTCACCCCAGTCTCCAGTCTGAAAATAAGACACATTTCCAAAACAAAGTAAGCTCTAGGAAGATTAGCAGGCAATAATGCTTTTCTTCATTTGTAATCAGTTTCTATTGACTAATACTGCATGTGTCATAAACTAATAAACTAACTTACGAAAGCTATGTGGACATTTCATATTATAATACTATGTTTCATCTGAATTTTCTAGCAAAGAACAAGTAATATCCAAAATACATTAGCATTATTTAAAGGAAATTATTACTGAGAGCTAATGGTTAAGACAACAGGTTAGAAACTGTGGAGGCTGTGAATTCAAGTTCTGCCCTAGGCTCAAAGCCATCTGGGAAACCTTGAGCTAATCACTTTCTCTCAGTCCTAGGAAGGAGGCAGTGGCAAAACACCACTGAAAAACCTTGCTAAGAAAATTGCAGAGACTTGTCCAGGCAGTCTCTGAGAATCAGACATGATTGAATGGAAGGGGGAAAATTACTAACATAATATTTTACAGGAGAAGCTAAAGACAGTTTCAGATACTTTACTCAAAATGGAAAATTCAATTAAACAAAGTACCTGAAAATAAACACCTACACTGTTCACTACTGATATGACTACAACTAGGCTTGTTTTATGAAAAGAAAATCTTATTTTGGCCAGTGGGACTTACTCCTAAGAAAACCTATTAGAAGTATAGTATTGCACCACTCTTTAAGTACTTAAAAGTCAATTCTGTAAAAACCAATGGGATAAAAAAATTATCTTAAGTCAATTTGCTAAGCATTAGAAATTAATATAATTACAGAAGGAAAGAAATAAACATTTTAGTATAATTTTCTTAGGAGTAAGCCTCACCAAATAAAATTGAATTAATTTTGGAGCAAATCTGTAGGGTTTTCTTTTAATTCACAATTAATTAATTAATTCACAAAAACAATTACATTTAAAAGGCACTTACTAAAACAACACATTAAATTAAATGCTAAAAGTAATTTCTTAGTCCATTTTTAAGTTATTTGTTCCTGCTGAACTGTTCTTGCATGGACAGAAATGGCAACTAATCATTAACATTTTATTAATCTTATTTAAACTTGAAAACGTAACACATTAGCAAAAGCAACAGAAAAGCATAATTTTTACTGAGAATTCCAGTCACAGAAAGTATGCTTTAATTTCTCAAATCAGGACAGAGCAAACATAATAAGCATTATATACATATATACATATACATATATGTATCTCCCACATCTATGGGCCACATTAAAGACAAAGACAGAAGTTTATACAGATCTACAGTAACAAGCAGCACAAGATAAAGTTGAAGGCACCAAAATTTTCTGTTTGGTGGAAACCAAAGCAGAATTGTAGAAACTCAAGCAAACAGAAACAACTTTGTGCCAACATTGCTGTATTTTTAGTTGAAGGCTGACAGTAATGCAATTCATCTTCTTTTCTTAAAAGTGCTTTAACAATATCTTGAATAACTATTTCAACATTTTCCAAATGAAAGTTTTTTGGGGTTTTTTTTAATAAGAAAAGTGACTAATAAGGCAGTAAGTGAATAAGTCCCTACATCCTTGGAGCAGATGCATTTTTCTCTTTATCTTTCTTAATACTGGGAAATGCCATTGCACTTGTGCAATATAGCAAATACTGGTATATGCATAGTAATGCACTTGTTAGCACATACATTCGTGGTGACGCAGTGGTTAGAATGCAGTACTGCAGGCTATTTCTGCTGATTGCTGGTTGCCAGCAGTTCGGCAGTTCGATTCTAACCAGCTCAAGGTTGACTCAGCCTTCCATCCTTCCGAGGTCAGTAAAATGAGGACCCAGATTGTTGGGAGCAATATGCTGACTCTGTAAACCACTTAGAAAGGGCTGTAAAGCACCGTGAAGTGGTATATAAGTCTAAATGCTATTGCTATTAATAATATTCAATATTAATAATGTCAATTAATTCTAGATTGAATCCAATGTTAAACACATGTAACTGATTTTGCGAAAGCAACTTTCTCTACCTTCCCCTTTAGCCAAGTAAGATGAGAACATATATGATTGGAACTCTGATTCCTAGGGGAAAATCCATCCATTTGTATGGATCTGTGTCATTCCAGGCTTTCTATTCAGCATAACTACCAAAATGTATAAGTAGTATTTTACGGTCTTACAAAGGCTGCTGTGGGGAGAAGAGAGATGTAAAGCTGCTTCTACAAAACCTGCCTAAATCTGGATTCCACTCATTAGAATTATCCATTTTGAAACATATTTGCCTTTTATAGAATACATTTCCCACATATATTAGTGCTATTGTAAAAAAGAAAGGTTTACAGGAGTTGGGCAAAAGTGTTCTGGGAGTGCCAGTCTATGCTGTATTATGCCGCTTTATTCTGTTTCTCAACTTCACAACTTTAAAACATGTGTTCAGCTCCCAAAATTTTGGAGGCAACCTGTGGAATTTGTACTATATTCTTCTCTATCTTGTATGTCCTCTTTCCTTTTTGTTATTTTTCATTTCTTACCTCCTAACTCCCCCATCACATGATTCAATTTCTGCTACTAAGATTGTCCCTTCTTCTTTGACTTCTCTATCTCTACCTCAGGTGTCTCTTTTACATTATCAGCATGCACTGTAAAAATGTTGTGCCAAGTGTTGGCTGTCTAATGCACACAGCAGAAGTCATGTTCATTTTAATTATATGGGAACAGAGTACATAAAATTCAAACTCTGTCCTTGAAGTAGGGTGACAAAGGAAAATACTGGAGATGTGAAGTGGGACTATCTCTGCTGCAGTATATTGTTGGCCATGTACCTATAAAGATAGTATCTGACCGGCCATGCTACTTGCCACTCATACACTGAGAACATTTCTTGAAAAGATTGCTATTTCACCAGTTGGCCAGTACAGTAGCACATACTGATGATAGACCCTGAAGACTGGAAGATCTGATTTGGAAATCTTTGGTAAATACTCCCAAGTCCAAACCTTAATTAAGAGATACAAGATGCATTACATCTGTAAGAAAGACTATGAGACACCAGACTATGCTTAAAATTATTATTAAGCATACGAGGCAAGATGGGCAGCAATCAAATCAAATAAATAAATACATTTAATCTGCCTATTAAAATTATTTGAGTTTGGAATTTTTGGAATTTTTGGAATTTTTCACACACATGTGAAAAACATGCGGTGTTGGGGGGGACTCGACGTTCCCACGTGACGCCGCTGCTGCGCGAGCTGCATTGGCTGCCTGTGGCCTTCCGGGTGCGCTTCAAGGTGCTGACTATCATCTTTAAAGCGCTCCATGGCATCGGACCCGGATACCTTCGAGACCGCCTCCTGCCGCAGATTACCTCCCATCGACCTGTACGCTCCCATAGAGTGGNCCCCAGAGATCAGGGTCATCCCTGATCTCCCTTCCTTTCGCCGCGCCCTCAAGACTTGGTTATTCCAGCTTGCAGGACTGGCCTAGGGTAATTTTTAGAGGGGTTTTAATTATGTTTTAAATTTGACAATATTTAAATATCTCTTTTAATTAATTTTAAATTTGTATTGTTATTTATGTATTTTAATTGATTGTCAGCCGCCCTGAGTCCTACGAGGAGAAGGGCGGGATATAAATCCAAATAATAAAATAAATAAAAATAAAATAAATATACTTCAATAATTAGAACTGTTTGCAATAGTGGTGAATATCTGTAGCTCGGGTGTAGGATAAGGGTGAAGGTTTGTTCTCCGAGCTTGTGAGTTGGTTTCCAAACATTTCATTGCCAGGCTATATAACCTTCAGCGGAGTTTAGGGGAGAATTAGAATTGTTTACAGAAATGGCAATTTAATATTATCAAGTATAAAAGATGCAATTATACAGTGTTGTCTATTTGCTTTAATAATCTTATTAATGTCACTCAAAGAAATACGATTGCATTCAGAGGTTTTGTTTTTGCCTTTTACTGGAAAGTCTATGGAGATTCTCAGTCATTCAGGTCATAGTAATCCCAAAGGTACTTTTTCACGAGGCAACTGGAGTTTCTTGTTTTTCTTTGAAGATGTTTAGCTTTTCATCCAAGAAGCTTCTTCAGTTCTGACTGGATGATGGGGAATGGAAGGATTTATACTCCTTGCAGACAGCTGGTTATTTGCATTCTTTTAGAGAGTTGTTGAGGCCATCTGGAGGTTTATCTGTGTCCTCAGGGTCACCTGAGTAGTGCAAATGGGTGTGGAGCCTTCATGGAACTGCTGAAAGGACTGTGTTGTAGACTGGAGATAGATGATGCTGTATCCATCCCCCTCTGTTTTGACATAGATGGCCTCTTTGACCCCTCTTTCAAACCAGCGGTCCTCTCTATCAAAAATGTGGACTTTGCTGTCTTCGAAAGAGTGGCCTTTGTCTTTTAAATGCAGAAATGTCTGCATGTTTAAACTCTAGTTGCCTCGTGAAAAAAACAGCTTTGGGATACTTTTACTGGAATAACTTTTCAAGGCTATATTCAAGATAACACTTGTTTCAAAGTTTTGATCCGCAAAATAGTTTTAAAAATTCAAAATCAGAGATGGAAAGGCTTTTCTCTCTACTGTAGTCCTCCCTGAGTCAGCCACAAAGGAAGGCAGGTAGCCCAGAGTCCTATAAAATAATGGTCCTCTTTTTCACTGAACTTTCTCTTTTTCATTTATAGCCAGCTGTATAGCCATGACTTAGATTTTTATTGCAGATAAGCTGCATAACTACAAGCAGATACAAGGGGAAAATTTTATTATTCAGATATTACAAAAACAATATTCATATTGTTTCCATTTAAAGAACTAAAAAGTGACAGTATAGTAAAGTAAAAGAAATCCAGTACATATCATACAGTATATACAGTGGATATGGAAATTCTACACAGCCCTATTAAAATACTACATTTTTTAGGTTATTTATGTATTTATTTAATTTGTTTGCTGCCCTTCTCACCACTAGGTGACTCTGGGTGGCTTACAATGGTAAAAAAAAATACATACACATTCATACAATAAGAGTAAAAT